AATTTCTCAATAGAATCTGTCCAGATTCCAAAACAATCATCCAGAAATCTTTTCCAGGTCTTCAGGGGGCACTCATCAGTTATTTTGTATGTATTTGCAAGTTTCACAATTTGATCATCAAGCTTAGCCATAAAAATGTTTGCATAGGAAGGGGCTGGATGTATTCCCATTGCTGTTCCTATCAATTGTTTGTACAGTTTACCACCAAATTCAAATATGTTATTTTTCAAACAAATGTTTAGCAGCTCAATCAAAAATGACGTAGGTACAGATTTATCAGTTCTGTTTTCAAGAGCTTCTCTACAGAATTCTAGACCATCATCCTGAGGTATATTTGTGTACAATCCTGTAACATCTACAGAGAATAGAATAGAGTTGGCTGGTAAATTATCTTTGTTAATTTCTTCAATACATCTCAAAAAATCTGGAGTATCCTGAAGATAAGATGGGTGTAAGTTGGAAAGGGGTTTCAGAAAACTGTCCACAAATAAACTTATATTCTCTGTGTAACTTCCTGAGCCACTGATAATAGGCCTACTTGGTGGAGTATCTCCTGGAATGTGAGTTTTATGTACTTTGAACAGCTGATAAAACTTTGCTGGATTCTTGTCAGTATGAGTTAATAAAATTTTGAAATGGTAAAAAATACATTTCTAAAGAAAAAAAATGTTGGATACTTTTTCAATACATATTTCAACCTAAAACAAGAACCCCGCACAAACAAAGGAATTGTGTCTTTGCCACAAACTAAAATTTTATCATCTCTATATCTTTGTATCCTGACGGTGTGAACCTTTGATATTTCAAAACCTATATTATTTGATGCAACAGAATTCATAGTTTGAAATATCGAAGGTCTATCGGGTTACGAAGATATGGGTATTGAAAAATTAGAGTTTGTGGCAAAAACTCATTTCCTTTTTAAAGTTAGGGTAAAACAACGCTAATCCCAATATTTTTTGCAGATTTGTATTTTATTTTTACAATTATAAATTTATACAATTTTTACAATTTTGTTAAATAAGTGAATTTATATATACATTTAAACATAGATTAATTTTTATGTTTTTACACACATAAAGTACAGCTAAATTGTGGGGGAAACTTGAAAATAAAAATTTGTAAATGATCCAAATGGATTTTTTCGTTCCAATTTATTATTTGTGAAATCCAGACAAAGAGGAAAGATATAAAATATAAATTTTACAGAGCTTTTTATTTCTTTTTATAGATTTTCAAATTTATAACTTAATTTTAAAAAAGAAATTGAGTTTTTGTTCCAAACTCTGATTTTCTTATCAGCTAAATCTTTGCAACCCGATGTTGTGGACCTTTCATATTTCTAATTTTTTTCTTCAGAATTCTATATAAAATGTAAAAACGCAAACGATGAATTTGTAAGGGGAGGGGGGAGGTGGGGGCACAGCGTTAAATGAGCGTGTGTGAATTTAAAAAGCTGATATTAAGTGTTCGATTGATGGGTTGAAGGGTGAATTCATCATTGCAAATATATGATTAGCAAACAACCTATATCTTATCTCTATATATATTTATACACATGATGCATTGGTCAAGATAAGTTTTACCCGTTCTGAAAATGAGTTTTTTCTTCATTTAAAATGTGTTTTTTTTAGCCAATGCAATTAAATTTAGCCGTTTATTAACCTTCACAGTTTTTAGATTAAAGGTGACCCCGAAAACAATTATAAAAGTCAAGTTATTTTTAAAATTTTGTTTGCTACTTTTTACTGATTCCTTAAAGGAACTATAAGCGTAATTTCAAGTGACCCTCCATGTAAAGATTGCATTACCTGATTCACAACGGTACCCTTAAAAGCTTTGTCCGATTAAATATGAATGAGACATCATGGTTTATGATTTTTGAAAAAGGATCATTTTCGATTGCGGGATCTCTACAAAAGTGACTTGAGCATTTCTACTGTAGTAAAACGTTAAGGAATTATAAACATTAAACGC